GGTAGGCCGATCCGGTACAATTCCGGCATGGGTTTCAAAAAACGTTGCCGAAGGAGTCAAGGAGCTCTACGATTCGTTGATCCGATAGTGCTTCCGATGATGGCTTGTCCAATGGAGGGAGGGCATGCAAAAAACAAAGGCCCATTTCTTCAACGTTGTGCCGTGCGACGGAGTAGCGAATGTTCACCGTGGAAACCACGTGACAACCAATCGTAGGGTGAGGTGGAAGAACCATGCATGAGACTAAGATGTGGTCCCGAGCATGAACATGAATGGTGCAATGATATAAGTTCTCCAGGTGGTCCTCGCTTCGCAGCCACGACATGCCCAAGATCACGTCAAACTTGGTGTCCAAGATGTCGAAGGACACGGCCTCCTGTGCGTGCAGGCGGAAGTACATGGGCACGGTGTCGATGCACCAGTCAATTGACTTGTGCGTGTGACCGTCAGCCAACGGGACTTGCGTGGGCTGCCACTTCCTTCGAACGAGTTGCCCGAGGGCGGCGCGCACCATGAAGTCTTGGCTGATGTAATTGCGAGTAGCTCTACAATCGATCAAGGCGTTGCAGGTCGCCTTCCCGATCTGAATGTGGATCTAAAGTAACGGCGCGTCAATGTCAACGTACCATTGTGTAGTGTACTCGCGGTCCATCTTCGCAAAGTACTCGCGAAGGTCAACAACCTACTACGTCGTCCGTCAACGGAGCTGGTACTTCAGCATGCAAATACTTGAGCCAATCTGCCACTGAAGCGTTGCAATGCGGTTTCGCCAAGGAATCGGAGAGAGGAAGAGGCAACCTTTGGAAGTCTTCCGTAGTCAGCGGGTCGAGGTCCTCAAGTCTCGACCAAACCGACAAATCCCCTGATGATAGTAATGACGGCGAAGAAGTCGGTTCGTGTGCCGACGATGATGAAACCGTATGTGCACGAGTCTTGCACGTGGATGGGTAGGTCCAACGGAGGGACCAACTGAACAACATAATCCTTGTAATCATACCGAGAATTTGCGACATTCACATGCTCCCCAGACGGGTACGAGGCTGCTAGCAAGGCAGTCGTGTCTGGCGGAATGGGAGGTGGAGTCGCCTCACTTCCCACGGAGCTCAGTTTCCCCAACTTGGCTTGGGCTAAACGTCCTCCTTGCCCTTGCCGGGGCATTGGGCAGGGGTGTGTTTGGTGCTGTTAAACCCAAAACAGCATCCCTTTTTTGCCACAGCTTGAATTGCTCCTTGGTGAGGTTGAACTTTGCCCAAGGCTTATTCGGCTGTTCGGCTCCCGACATCGACGCTGACTTCGCCTTTTTCTTTCTTGAGTGGGTGCATCGTGGCGGGAGGGCATTGACTTGGTCTCCTTCACTTGACGTGGAAGTAGATGTCAGGTCTTCACTTGGTCCACTTGATTGGACTGCTGTAACCGGCTGCGTCTATTGCCCTTTTCCTCTCTCCACAAAGTGTGGCTGCCCTTGTCTTTCGTTGGTGGTGCGCCCATTGGCTTGGATGATGGATCGAATGCGGTCGACTACTGACTCCAAGTCCGCATATTGGTCCTCATCCCCAACGGCCGAGCTCAATGAGTCAACTCAGCGGAGAAAGAATTTGTGCTTCACGTGATCAAACGACATGTTCAAGTTGGGAGTCCCGATAATCTTTTGCCATTCAGTCAACCATTCTCGCGAAGGTTGAGTACCTTGGAATATGCAGAAGATCTGGTTCACAGCGCAGGCCTTGGCGTCGTCGACGATGAACCGCTTCTTCCATTTGGCAGCAAGCATGTCCCACGTAAGCTTGGTGTGCAGGTCTTGTACGTTGACCGCTTCGTGCGTCACCAAGTGGTTGAGCCAAATTTGGCAAGCGGGTGGAGTTGAGGTAGAGTGCCGCAATCTCGAGGTGCTCAAGGACTTCCTCGGGTCCCAACTCCGTGGTGAATCCTTGCCACCAAACCAACGGGGCGGTTTTGTGGTAGTCGTCAAATTTCTTGATGCGAAATGCCGGCATCTTGAACGGATGCGGGTTGCTGCAGCAGCGTACGGACGTCAGTCTTCAGCTCTGTGAGCTGTTGGCTGATCGCTGCTGGTCTCGCGAACATACCAAGGTCACTGATTGTGGCTACCACATGGTCAATCCGCTGCTCCAGTTGTCGTGGTCAATGGCTGGCTGGTACTAGGGCCGCTGCCTGGTATGCCGGCGTCCGTGCTCTCCAAATCCATGAGGCATGCATGGAGACTGCAGTTGGTACCATCTCGCTGGTCCCTTTTGTTGGCAATCACCCGTGTCAACCGCTGCAGCTCTTGCTGCTACCAATTCCAGGTGGCAATGAGGTGCGCAATCATCTTGGAGATCTCCTTGGTCTTGTCAGCTTCCGTCGGACTGCTGTTGCTCTCCGTCGGTGTAAAGTGCCATTTCCTGAGTGTTGTGGCCTACTCCGTCTCTCGCTGTTGCAGTGCCGAGCAGGCAGTCAACCGGAGAGAGTTGATTGCTGCTGCGCCCTCGGCCTGCTGTCGTCACTGTTCCACTGCTGCCCATTCCGCTGCACGGATGTGATTGGTCCGCTTCGGCTCGACGCTTCTTTTCTTCGTCGATGAAGGCCAAGTAATTGGCGACCCGAAGTTGGAAGGCTTCGACAGTCTCATTGGGCCCCTGCCCTTGCAGACCGGGCAGACCCAGACCAGGTGCACCTTGAGCTGCTGCGCTCCCAAGCGGGCTCACTGCTGCTGCTACTGCTGCCGCTGCGGCCATGCCTGCTGGTGCTGGCTGCTGACGCTGGTCAGAAGTCTGACGGGGTCACGGGCGTACCGCAGTGGCAGGGGCAGGTGATGAAGAGCCCCGTCATAGAGCTATTCGCATGCTGCGACGGAGCATACCCTGGCATCAGCCTTGGTGCTTACATGGCACCCGACTGACATGGCACTCTGCTGACATGGCAATCTTGCTGACATGGCACTCTGGTGGCAGGCCTTGCTGACATGGCACTCTGCTGATGTGGCACACTGCTGACATGGCGCACCGCTGACAGCCGTTGGGGTCAAGGCGAAGGTGGAAGGGAAGCAAAAAAGGACAAGTAGGCCAAGAACCCGACCTGCAATCTCCCCCCCCCCCAAAAAGGCAGGTAAGACACTAATAAAGGAAGGAATTCCCCCCCCAAAACTTGGGAAATTTTTAAAAAGATGAAATGTGGGGCTGGGCAGTGGCTTCCCGGCAGCGTCAGTTGGCAAAACGCCAGACTGACACCCAGGTAGCAATAAGAGAAAAAAATGATGAAAGTTCTGAATTCCACACGCCCCCCCCCTTTTTTTTTTCTGTTTGTTGCAGAAATTCGGATTTGAGAAAAAGAAAAACAAACGAAAATGTTATAAAACTTATAATTTTTCAAATCGAATTCTCCGAATTTCCTACTCCGTGAATTAGGGGGGAGGTAGGTAGGCCCTAGGTGGTTCACCGTTCGCCGGTAGAGCTTTGGATGAACAGTAATCGCGTTGACAAATCACTTCTTTATGCCGATTGTAGTGGAGTACTCCTACCGGTGGCCTGACCACCTTCCCTACTTCTTAGGTCCTATCACTTTTAGTCAATCCCTCAATGCTGCTCGATCACTGCAGTAACGACACCAGGGAAGGAGCCGCATATGTTTAACAGGGGAATGAAGGGAATGACCTCTCCATTAGGACAGGCTAAAAACATCACTTCCACTGCGACGTGTGGGATGACAACCTCCACCTCACAGAGGCGTTGTTGACTGGCAGGTGGACTACCAGATCTGGACCGTTTGACCGGACCGTCGTTCTGCTCGGGGGTTGGGCGACTGCTACCCTGGGGGCTCCCAGGGGAAACCGGTGGTATCCCAGTGCGAACCAGCCTTACGGCGCCACATCCCCCCCCCCCTGGGGCCCTCGGGGAACCCGGTGCTCGACTGTCAGCGCACGGAATGGCTACAAGACGGCATGCAGAAAGTAGCAGCTCGGGAGAAGGAAAGCATAGATTGGTTGGGGGATTCGGACAAACTACAGCGGCAGTGAGTGGCGTCGGGCAGTTGATCGTTGACTGCTGACCTCTCAATCGCCGCTCAGCCTTCACACAGTCAGTCCCCAAAATCCCGGTCCCAAGGTCCCAGTTGGTCCCGGTAGGGTAGGTCTTAGGGTCCCTAGGTTGACGTCACTTCATTGCACTGGGTAACGGCCCGGGGGTTCTATAGTCTCGTGTAACTCGTTAGAGTTTGATTCAGGGACACTGGACCCGGTTCCCAGCTGGTGTGGCTCGCCACGAATATAGACCAGAGCGACCAGGGATAGGCCTCCCCTACTGGCAGGCACACTCCAATCGCCTCTCCTTGTAAGCTGAACCCGGCCTTTCATTCTCCCCCCCCCAAAAAAAAAAAAAAAAAAAAAAAAAAACTTGACTTAGGCGGAAAAAAAACAAACAAACAATAATGCTTAATGCCTTAAATGCTCCATTTTTTTTAATTTTATTTTTTCTTACAGCAAATGCAAATTGTGCCTTGGAACAGCAGGCCACACCTAATAAGGGCCTGTGACCTTATGTCCTGCACTCAGTGCACTGTGATATTTTGAATTAAGGTACATCCCTACAGCCGTATGTTCATTTACTAGGCCACAAGTGCATGGAAAAACTGTGCATGGTTAAGGTAACTGCCACCAGGAATGGATGAATCGTGCAAGCACTTTGTTCAAAATTGGTTCAGACAATTCGAATAATTTGTGTACACTCAGCCGTCCACCACAGTTCACAGCGCATCCAGTATCAGTCCCTTCTACTGTATGCAGGACTTCCTTGCACCTAAAATCCAGCATGGCCGAGGCTTCAAATGTCGAACAGGCACGAGAGGTGTAACAAGGCAAACTACAACTCTGGAGACCCTCTTTCTTCAACTGGCAGTCTTGCACAGCCTGAGCTTCTTGAGGGGGAGTATATATGCCCGCAATGCTGCACAAAACAGCAACAACCTCCCCAGTTCGCCGAGCAACGCCAGTCCGTCAAGGATTGGCAGCATAACGCAGGTCGTGTTTGCCTTTGCATTGCTGCAATAAGCAAACATCGACATCGACTGACTGCAGACGCTACAAGCAGAACTAGGCTGAGGAGCGGAAATCCTTGTTGTTGCTGCACGTTTCCTCCTCAGCTAGGCGTAGAAGCCAGCAGGAGGCGGATTCCATGGCGGTCCTCAGGAGGGAAGCCGCTGGCCAGGCCAGATTGGCGGGAACAGCCATAGGATGTCTCGGAATAATTGTTCTGCTTGGTTTTGTCATTCAGTCCTTTGCGATCCCCACAGGTGAGGCCGACTCCTTATCGAAGGCAACTACGGCTGCTCAGAATGCGGAAACAGCAACTGACATTGTAAGCAGGCAGCTCGGAGAGTACGACTATGGCGATGACAAGTACGGCAAAGGGAACTACAAGGACGGCAAATATGAGGGTGACGAGTACTACAGTCACAAGAAGTACGAGAACAAGAAAAACGACGACGTGTACTACAAGAAGTACACTGAAAAGAACTATAATGAAAAAACATATGTAAAGAAATACGCCGACGAGAAGAAGTACGACAAGTATGATGAGGATAAGAAGTATTACAAGTATGGCAAGTATGATAAGTACGGCATGAAGTATGATGGTAAGTACGATGGTAAGTACGATGGTAAGTACGACGGTAAGTACGATGGTAAGTACGACGGTAAGTATGATGGTAAGTATGATGGTAAGTATGATGGTAAGTATGATGGTAAGTATTATGGTAAGTACGATGGTAAGTACGACGGTAAGTACGATGGTAAGTATTATGGTAAGTATAATGATAAGTATGATGGTAAGTATGATGATAAGTATGGCAAATATGATGGTAAGTATGGCAGTAAGTATGGTCAGTATGATGGTTACTCTGGTAAAAATGATGGTAAATACGATGGTAAATACGATGGTAAATACGATGGTACATACGATGGTAAATACGATGGTAAATACGACGGTAAATACGATGGTAAATATGATGGTCACTATGGTTACTATGGTAACTATGGTAAGTATGATGGTAAGTATGATGGTAAGTATGGCAAACATGATGGTAAGTATGGCGGTAACTATGGTACGTATGATGGTAACTATGGTAAGTATGATGGTTACTATGGTAAAAGTGATGGTAAATACGATGGTAAATACGATGGTAAATATGATGGTCACTATGGTTACTATGGTAACTATGGTAAGTATGATGGTAACTATGGTGAGTATTATGGCAAGTATGGTAAGTATGATGATAAGTATGGTATGTATGATGGTAAATACGAGAAGTATTATGGTAACTATGGTAAGTATTAGACGAAAGACGATGTGACGTATGGCAAGAAGGCTGAGAGGAAGGGTCATTATCACAAGGATGATGGCCAGAAGTACAATTAAAGCCTTTAAAGCCTTTAAAGGGAGTACGGCATGAAGTGGGATGAGAAGTGGCATGAAGAGAAGCAGCCCGCAGGACGATCAAACGACGTTATGGCAACACAAGAGAGCTATGACGAGAAGCACACGCACTTCATGGAGTTGAGACAGCACAAACACGTTGCGTGAGAATTTACTTCCGCGAAGGATGCAACGTGTACAAGAGACGGCATGATAATGGTATTCAGGATGATGGCCAAGCTTTCGTCTTGCATTTTTCGCATGGTAGTGGAACAGGGATCATAAGCAAAGTCCCCGGACATAAACTGGATTAAGCAGAAGAATCTATCGCGGTCGATCTTGCTCATGCCTTTCACTGCAGGGACAGCAGATAAGGGTAATTACTAATTAGTAATTACAAATTACTACTACTATTTTTTCTTTCTTTCTGCTCTGTGTATTCTGGCATCTACAAGTGAGTATGGGTGTTCCCTTCCCCTCCCC